CTGCGAGGATCGTGCATCATACGTATTAAACATAATGTTAGACATGATAAAAAACGACAGCAAGACAGCAGATGTCTCAAGGAATTACCTTTCCGGCTCATTCCCACCCCTTCTTGAAAATTATTGAATTGAAATTTCAAGTTTTGATAAGATACAAAGATATCTGCTGACCCCGTGATGTTTCTACAGGCCCAGGTTCAAGTTTCATAAATGCAAACAATGTTCACGCTTTTCACTAAAACCTTAACTGTCTTTGTGTTTAGAGCTGCTTACACTTTTTTCTAAGAGTCACATTAACAAAAAAGAAAGAATGTATTTTCAGCTGGCCATACTTCACTATGCTTTAATTGTCTGAGACATTTACTATTTGTAATTATAATCACAGGGTTGTGTTAAATATAAGAATAAAATGCAATAATAGCTAATGTCAAAACTCATAAATGGTTGTGTAAAAAGTCGCATAAAACTTGTTGTCCATTCCGTTTGGCTAACAAGACCGCTTCATTTCCTAATATCGATCTTTAATTGACAATTCAATAGTATTTCAACCTAAGATCGCATGTCGCTGCTGCATTTGTGGACTGTTTCGAACTTCCCCATACAAGTTCCACAATCGAATATCAGGGAAAATCCATGATAGGGCGTGGAAACGTGATTAACCTGCCATCTGGCCGATTACAATTACCTGTAAAATAGCATAAACGGTGCTGAGGAAGTACGTTCACAGCAAAGTGGTCTTTGTTTCGTATTTATCAAATGTTGACGACCTTGAATCTTAATTCGTTCACTTTAGAATCCATAATCCGCCGCCCTGATGGAAAAACAGAGAATAGAGAATCGTGCCGTGATCGAAACATACTCAAAAAGCTGATTACGCTTGACTATTTTTCAAACTTTTGAGTGGAAAAAGAGTATCGATCACGCCCACTCAAGTGAACAAGCACTCATGCTACAAGCAAAACACCGCAAAAAAAGAATAATAGGAATATAATTTATTAATAAAACCTTCTGGAAAGCATGTAATTTTATACTTTAATAATTTTATTAATTGTGACTTTAACTCAACTGAAGCCCTTGTTAAAACTTTCTTCTACCACTGACCCCGCAAACGCAACACCAGATTGCACTGCGAATTCTTTGGCTTTCGAAAACATAAATGAAAACTTGACTTTTTCCTTAAAATATTGAATAAATCCCCTCACAATACATCTAACTGAAAATCAAACGGTACATATCAAATACATCTTTGTTTCATTGTTTCAACATAAAACAGAGGGGAAATGATCTTGCCAATATCAAGATACATAACTAAAAAAAGATGTACTTACAATAAGCAGCGTTACGATATCGCTTTAATCCTTTGGTTTTTTTTTTTTTCGGCCATTAAACGTACATCATTCCCAACAAGTTAAAATGACCGAAAATACGAACAAGAATGGGATCGACTCAAAATATTTCCATACAAATTTGTCGTGGGCGTAAGATAGGTAACTACTTGTTTTACATTCCTTACTTCATAAATATTTGAGTTTTACAACAACGAGAGCAAAGTTGATGATTGAAATTCAAAACGTCACTCGCCAGCATTTAACAATTGCATCGATTGAAAGTAATTTTATGATAAATTTCCATACTGAACATATTATATACTAGTCAAAGCTAACCCAACTGGGTTTCTGCTGGGAATTACAAATAGGACTTTGATTATCGCTCTTGATTTCTTGGGGATTGGTATTCAAATTTTGGTTTGCTTCCAGCGCTTGGTTACTCTTTGGCACATTATTATAAGGACCACTGTCTCTTCTGATTTCAAATCGAGCTAAATCCACAGCACCTATGTGATTCGACGTTGAGAAACTTTGTTGAAATTCAGCTTCATTCCTATTAGTCTCTAAACTTGTATTAGTATTACTGCCATTTTTTTCACCAATATCCACTTCAAAAGACTTAACGTCCGTCTCAGGAAACAAAAACTCTTGCGCATCAACCGGCAGTGACGCCATCGTGTCTTGTAATAATGACAACGACACTGGCCTCAATGGAGAAATCGTGTCATCAATCTGAGCACTTTCTAATATATCGTCCACTGATTTGGGTGGCTTCGTCGTACTTGAAGTTGACGTAATATTATCCTCCGTTGGTACGTTTTCTAATAGAGGGTTCGCAGAGCCTTGGGTCTTTTTCTTTACTGAAGCTGGTCTCTCTGGAACTGGTGGTTTTGGTCGAGATGGAGATGATTTACTTCTCTCTACTGACACTTCATTACTGCCAGAAATTCTCCTCGTTGAGCTCGATCGTCGCACGTTTATGTCTAAATCCTCATAGCTAAAGGTTCCCGAGGGTGTAATGTTTCCAGCAGAGTGTTCATTTATAGGTGTTCCTTGGAATGAACTTGTAACCCCACTGGATGTATTTAAAGAGCCCATTTCCTGCAAGAAGAAGTAGCCTGTTTTTATAAGAGAAAAGGGCATATAGTCGATCATACAAGCTTCTGTTTTAAAGTTTTGGTAAAGGAAGCCCGTTTTTCCTTTCAATCAACGCCTACACCACAGCTTGACGAGCAATCGACGATAATTCAAAATCCCTAAAATGGGCTTTACATTCGCTCAAATATTCCTTCTTTGAATCTAAAGACATAAACTAGCATCACTACTATCAGAAAACTTGACAATGAATCATGCCGATTTTCCCAAGGGTAAACTCGACCATCCGCCCAACGGCAAAACCACCAGCCTTATTGAACACCTCGCTTATCATTCAAAGGATGACTAAGCATTAAGGAACTTCGATCATCTCAACTTTCATAAACCACATTTACCTTGGAACTGTCTCCACAAAGATCACAGTGATTAACCTAACATGCATTTGGATTTTGACTAACTTTCCCTTTTTTACAATCTTCGACGTATTTCACTTCAAACTGCATAATCATTCATTAACATATCCCCAAGGAAAACTTACCAAGGAATCAGTCGAACCTTGAGTCCTGTGACTGGCGTTTGACGAATTAGGACTGTCATCCAATGAGATGAGTTCGGCCACAACAGGTTCCATTGACAAATGAGGAGCACTGCTGCGTGCAGCCACCTTAGGGGAGGACTTGCCTTCCGCCGTTGACATTGCTGAAGTGCGAGGGCGCCTTTCAGAGGCGCTGTAAGGATTTGGCCGAGGCGGAGGGGGTCTGGGTGGACGCACCTTTATGCCGCTTTCGATTTTGAGTTTTTCGAACTAAAACATAAGTAGTCCAGAAAATTTAGTCATTATATGGGTTTATGGAAGCGTTTAAGGGGCCTAGTTTACATAGGAAGTTCATAACACTAGCTCTGGAAACAATCAAATCGCAACTTTTATGATGTTTTTCCTGAAGAGAACTTGTCCGAAATACAATTGGCCAACCATCGTATGAACAACACAAACAAAAACAAAGACGACGGCATCAGTAGCTGTTTTAAAAGGGCGCTCCTGCTATGTTGAATGGTCAACAAGGGAAATTGAAACACTTACTTGTAATTGCACTTTGAGCGTGAATCTTATTTACCTCAATAGGCGAAATTGTTCTCCTCTTGTTAAAAGGTGAAAGTTTGTGAAGTGAGAACGCCTTGAATTCCGGATTGGTATTTGATCTCTTCTGGTCCCCTGCATACTCGTCCTCATCCTAATAGAAAAGCACTTATACACTTCAATCCATTAATCTAATCTATTGTTAGGTACGGGTTCTTTAGTTGTTATCATAACTGAATCGACCCCGTGCAGTTCAAGAACAGCAATTTTTTAAAATTCAATTTTTCTATTTAACCCTCAACACCTACCATTGGTATGCATATTCTCCATGCTGTTCTCTATACTAGGTGTTGACAAGGAGAATTTATTTAACAATTAAGAGCTTCTTTAATTGGTGATCATTTCCTTTATTCTTTTGACCTTTATGCACGATTCAGGGGGTGATGTTGTAAGGAAAAATGAGATACTTGTCGCTCTCAGGGCTTAAAGGTTAATAAGAAAGATTTGCACAATGGACTAGTGGTGCAAAAAAGAAAATCATATGTCCCTATTGCCTGAGTGGGAGGGCCGGACGGAAAAATATTTGGCTCGAGGTCATGACGTACGACCCGACCAAACTCAGTCAATAAACATTTTATAATTTGACCGCTTACTGTTGAAAATTTCAGCTCGAATAGGACGCAATAAACGGGTACACGCAGTCTGACAAGGGCACAAAACAAATTCTGCAATTAAAACTTTTCCTTTCTTTTTGCAAGTCAGAACAAGAAACTCCCAATTCCTTCAAAACCGAGATTTTTTTTTCTCATTTCAGTTTGCCTTTGAGTTTTGCAACAAAGCGACGTGAGGGCAGCAGGGCTGGACGGCTTTTTCCAGACCGGCTCACGTCAACCCGTCCGGCCCCGCACACGTTAGCTTTCACCACGTTTTTCTATAGGATTGCGCAACCGGGGCTGGAAAGGTCATATGATAATGGGGCTCATGACATTCGTGCTTGCCATCAGTAAACAATCCGGAGAAATGTATACATGTGTGTAAATAAAATATATTGATTGATAGTCTAACATACCTTAACACAAAAAGTATTTATTTATACCCTAATCTTTTACACTCCTCTTAGATCGATGACTGCGCCAGTATACTCTTTTTACGTTTAGACTTATGTAATAAAGATATTAAGCCAAATTTAAGCTTGAGAACGGAGTCAAGCTTTACAAATTCTGAAAGGAGACTTCCAAAGACTACCTACGAGACGTCGCCGCAAATTGCCACACAACAGCTTAAACAAGGTATACGTTAAGAAAGTATATCGTTGTACCTTTCCCTTCAGTTTTTCTCCTACTGATTTAATTCCACTCTTCGCAGTTTTCCATTTACTCATGCATTGTTTCATCACCATTTTACCAGTCTGGTTAACAAATCATAAAATCAAAAAGTGATATAAAATGCAAGTATGGCATGGCAAGCCAAACGAGCAAAAACCCAATCAAGAAATAATGCTATCCAATAAAAAACACTGCGATTGAATGATCGCTAAAAAGAAGACTTTTCTTCATTACCAATAGATGCAAATTACTCGTTAAAAAAATGCAGAAACGTTTTAGTCCTTAGTTTACCTTATCAAGGAATGCACCACCAGATTTCTGTAAATGAAACAGGGACAGGTTTAATATCACTGAAACGGAGAATAGGTTTACATGGACTGAGAGAAGGGAGGATAGTTTGCCCAAAGAATACTTGGTTCAAGCGGTAACTCAAAGCTCTTTGTCGAGCTTTAGAGCGCATTTAGAGAGGGGTTTCATTTATGTGTTGAAAAACAACAACGAGAACTCAAAGCAAAAATAAAAACAAACCTAGCAGCTTGTATCTGAAGCAGGAAAGAACCAGCGACAAAGTCGTGATTGGTTAAATTAAAGAGCTTTTCAATCGAGTGATATTCACCCAATCAAAACAAACGAAAACACCCTAAAGAGCCAATGAGAACTCAAAGAAAAAACAAGAAGCAGGTAAAGCAAAACCAATGCTGTATCGGATAAATTTCGATGCTCAGATTAAAAAATTGCTCTAATTGAGAGAGACGAAAGAGTTTTCTGGACTGATCCGACTAATCGAAGTAAAGCTTGACCAATTTGATCAAAAACTTTCTAAACCACAAAGCTGTACAGCTCTAAAGGCTATTCTCATGCTATTCAACACTTCTCTCAATGTGACGGTTCTTGGCTTGTGTCAAATGAATTGTCTCTAGGATCTTTAAAAGTTCAAAAGGCAACCAGGTGGATTATCCGACATGGTTTGATGCTACTCTGGTTTAAGGATATAACAAATGCAACCGGGGAAATTACAATCAGTGGACAATCAGACATGGTTTGATGTTATTCTGGTTTAAGGACTTAATAAATGTAACCGGGGAAATTACAATCAGTGGACAATCAGACATGGTTTGATGCTACTTTGGTTTAAGGACTTAATAAATGTAACTGGGGAAATTACAATCAGTGGACAATCAGTAGACAATCAGACATGGTTTGATGCTACCTTTGTTTAAGGACTAGATAAATTTAACCGGGCAAATTATGTTCAGTGGACAATCAGTGGACAATCAGTGGACAATCAGAAGTGGTTTGATGCTACTCTAGTTTAAGGATTTAACAAATGTAACCGGGGAAATTACAGTTCAACGACCCAACGTTCGACACTTTAATGCCTTCATCAGGGGTGATCTAATCGTTGCACGGTTCTTTCAAAATGCTCACTAATTAGGCCCCCTACATACAATTGCCTCCGCTTGAAGAACATTAAGACACCGGTTTGATCGGATGTATCATTCTTACCCTAGTCTCACTCAACCACGACTGATACTGTGATTTCCAGCTGCCCTTATCTACAAAAAATAAAAAATCGGAAAGAAGAAGAGTCATAATTAGTAAAATCATAAGTCAACCTGCACTTGTAACTGTCCCGAAAGATTTTGTCGACCGTTCCGCCACTGCTGGTTTAAAATTTTTGGCACATCAGCGGTACGACAAAACTAGCAGAAATCCCCATTTTGTAGCCGCTTGGCACAGGCCTCGAAGTGGCTGCTCCGTATATAAATTTAACACCAGCTGTTCATGATAATTTTAATAAAAACACACCCGGTATTATCTAGTAAGCATGTAGAAAGCATTCGAAGTCTGTTTCGAAGTTGTCAGATTGGGGAAAAGATACATGTGTAATACCTCTGCACTGAATGGGCAAGTTATTCCAGATTTATAGACAATCAAAACGCAGTGTTCAATACATCATACGTACATATATCTTATTAACCAAGCGCGAGGGCCGTACTGGGAGAATGTCGGCCCGAGGTCTTGACAGTACGGACCGAGCGCAGCGAGGTCCGTACAAAAAAGACTGAGGGCCGATATTCTTCCTGTACGGTCCCGAGCAAGCTTGGTTAATAAGAGATTTATTATACGACTTAAGTTCAAAGGGACACAAGTGCGGTATCATTCGGGACCATTCGGGACAGTGGCCGGTCCAATACTGAGAGAATATTGACCGGCAATAGAGCATTTTGATTGGTTGATTTTAGTTATTGGCCCTCTGACTGCCCGAGTCGTGTAATAATAACACAAATTTGGTATCAAGAGATACCAAAGATAGACTTAATTTAGCTTACATACTTTCAGCTTGTAAACCGATTTGTTCTTCAAAAGCATCGTTCAATCCTCTTCCATCATTTAACATGTCTAGTCTTTCTGCTATGAACTGTTAAAATAATGACACATGAGCCTTCTGTTCGAAACCTCAGAAAAAAAAAAAATTATATTATTATTTGTGTAGTATCCCCTGCCATGTTTAGCTTGAAATTCAAGACCCTCCAAGCCCATTCTCTCAAAAACGATTATTTCGAGCGTTTACAGTTGGCTTTATGACAACATAGAGTCAGTTCTCTCGTTACTGCAAAATGTAAACAAACGTTGTACTGGCAAGCCATAATGCTTTACGACACTATACAGCAATATACAGAAAAATAACCAGAAGGGGCTCGATACTTTTTATGGTGAAACAACTGCGTTGTATAAAACGTGGGAAAAAAATATCACCATACATCGTTTTGTAGTCAACTGATTGGTTGAGAAAATGGCGGGAATTTCATCTAAACCAATCACAGAGTTTCAGTAGCAGAGCGCGCGTGGCCGCCGAAAGTAAGACCAAAATGGGTCCCAAAATGGTGGACATCGATCGACCTTGTAAATTGCAATCTCTTTCGTTCTCATTTCCTGCATTTCGTGCAAAAACGCCATTGTCTTTCTATGCACAAGAAAAGATGCTTCTCGAAGGAAAGGTAAGGATGAATTATTACCTGCTCAAATATTTGCAACTGAAGAATGAACTCAAGTAACTGTCTGGTACTGTTGGACTTTGACTGGACAAATCTAAGACATCAAACAGAGGGAGTGGAAAAATTTCCATACAACCCCATACAACCCCATACATTAATTATGCAGTCCATTTCATAAAGACTAAATATAAAGGTTTCTTTGCAACACTCTGATGATTAATGTATGGGATTATATAGAAATCTTGCCGAAAAAGAGTAACAGACACATTTAGGACAAACGCTTTCGAAGCGTGTAATGTTTTCTAAAGGGTTAGAAAATAAGTTTTCCTCTATGTTCTTCTGGACGTGTGGCTCCTCAGTGATATGGATATACATGTAGATGACAGAACGAGAATTACATTGCACAGTTGGGGTTTTATGAACATGTTGGATGGTTTTACTGAGCAGTGAGGGACAACTAGCCGAACGAATCAATTCGCGTGCGTGGGACAGAGCCCCATACCCATGGAATCTGATCAACCTCTTTTCGTTTTGTTGTCACGTGACTCACCAAGCGTACGTTCGTACGTGCCTTCAGATTTCACGGGTAAGGTAGGGGAGACTATTAAAACAAAGGGAGGGGTGTCTCAGGCGAGTCTTGGCAAATGCACCTCTTTTATGTTATCATTAATATTACGAACTTGGGAGCTCTAGGCTTGGCTAAATCTATAATTATATCAACCTTTAGGTGGATGTCCCATCGACATCTGGGTTTTATATCCTTTCTTCATTAAGGTGATTATTCCACAATGCACTTTATAAGCAGTTGAATTAACTACTAAAAGAACATGAATACTCACGCGTCCCTGTCGAAGACGATCTTTTCGCCCTAAAGGTGTTTAACACAAATGTAGTTGTTCATTTACTTTGTTCAAATTATTAAAATCCCTTAAACATACATTCAATACTACTCTAACAACAAAAAAGCAAACACTGAACTGAGATAAAAATTTGTTCATCATACTCACAGGCTTGAGCCGTAAGGCATCTCTGTAGCCTCCTATAAGTGATACCATGGCACACAAAAAAGCTCTTGAAACATGGTCATCAATTGGATAAACAGGTTTTTTAAGGGTGCTCTTGAGAGTTGATACCTGAAATGGAAATGTTTGCTGCTCACAAGTCCTTACCTCTAGGCATAATTATAACTATGTCTTTACACGTAATTGACCACTCCCCCCAATGGGGTTTTTCTGGGCCAATAAGAACAAATTGGACCTAAACATTGTAAAAAAACAGTCTTAAAAACCACAACTGCCAAGAGGGCAGACCAGTTGACTATATAGAAAACCTAGCAAAAAGGAGTTGAACTCAACACAAGAACAAATTCAGTGAGTAGCAAGGTGGTTATGAATGAACTTGGGACCACCGCCCAGCCCCCTCCTCCCCTCCCCCCACTGTTTCCAATGAATCCTAACTCATTCTATTCCAGCTTCCATGGAATATCACTTACAAAACATACCTTTTGTAAAAGTTCTCATGTAACAGCTACATAAATGTAGTCAGGAGTCTGGGCAGTAGACTCAGGGGAATAATTATTCTGTTGATGAGCCCACTAGCTAAACATACACCTTATTACAGAAGGAAATTGTACTGGTACTGAATGGAAACTTTGTTAAGCATTTAGCACTAGTCAGTAGTTGCAACTTACTACGCCGGGAGGAAGCTGTGATACATCATCAAATGGACTTTCTATTGTATCTGTATCAGCATCAAAAATAACAACTTCATCAAGTGGCATTAGACGAACTTTCTAAAAATGCAAAGCAACAAATGAACATTAACCTGAAGTTCAAATACAATCAGGACACTAAAAATTTGTAACAAACATTCAAAGAAATTTTAAGAAATGTTTCATTCAAAAGCCTGCATACAAAATATCTATTAATCTAGAAAAACACAAAATGCAATAGCTTAAAAAATCTCAAGTCAAAAGGGCCCTTGGGTGGCTGCGAGTTAGTTGGTGAGTATGTTTGTTTTTTTTTTTTTGCATGGTTCTGTGACTGATTGCTTTTTGCATTTTAAGTCCTGGTTAAAACATTCAAATCACTTTAAATTTAGTACCTACCGGCATTAATGATGCATGAACTCCCACCAAGAATGGCATTGGTGCACTATTGAAAATGTGTAAATATATAAATATGTGTTACTCTCCTGTTACCATGTATATTTGCTAGTGTTACACTACTATTTTTTAGAACAAAAGAAATCAAATAGTCAGTGCACAAACTAAAAGCTGCCAGCTACATATATTTTTTACAAACTAACCAACAATAGTCCAACAGATGCCGTGGCACAATGGGAACAAACATGTGTTGCCTAAAAACAATAAAAAATGTCATCAATCAGTTTCCTATCACTTATCAAAACATAATGGAAATGAGCACCACCGACAAAACAGCATTTATAACACTTTAAATCTAAAGAAAGCCACCTATGGTCTTTACCATTACATTAATTACACCCTGAACTGGTGTAAGGTAAGGAAATAAAAAAAAAGTAGGCAAAACCTACCAGTGCATAGGATATAGAAGGGATGATGCTCCATATGTACAAGCAGTCAGCTGAAAAAGAGAATAATATTGATATTTGATTGAACAATTTAAGTCAAACCAGTTTCTGCCTCCAATTATACTGCAAAAACTTATAGGTTCCTAAACTCATCACCAAGGAGTTCCTTTGGGGAAATCTCCTTTTTAAAGTGTAAACAAAACACAAGAATAAATCAACATACCAAATTGAGTTTCTTGGATGTCACTATTATTCGTCTTTCAAAGAACATACTGAAAAGGAGAATTGTAAAGTAAAATAAACACAAACATACACCAGTAAATTAAGGTAGATAATTTTATCCACTGGCTAGTGGCAAGGATTCAAGGAACATGACTGTCACAATAACTACCCAGACAGCAAATAGTCATTTACATATTGAAATGCAAAAAAAAAAAAAAAAAAAAAAAAGAAAAGAAAAAAGAACAACAATAATGTATGTACTATATAGAGGTAAAGTAACCATTACCTGGCAAATATAAATATCATAATTGCAGGATTCACAGCAGCAAAGTAATCTGTGAGGTTCCTCTGTAAAAAAAAAAGAAAAAACAAGCAAACATACATGTACCCATCAATTGTGAATTGCCTTGAATCTGAACTGGGTTAGCAGGTTCCCACCTTTCCATGTATAACATGTACTCCATTATAACAGGAAAATAAATTAAATGCTTCATTAAATTGACATAAATTAAGGACACTCATGTTAATTCAAAATGATTTGAGTTTTGTTATCTTCATTTCTGTGTTATTAATCAAAAGGCTCATTGATTTTAACTTAAATTTGTTGATTTTCATCATTTTGACAATGGACAGTAGAAAGAATGCTCCTTGATAAGTATCAATTTCCTAATTTTAGTTTATACAATATTTTGAATCCCATATAAAATCAGTACTATACCATTGTGTATCATATACTTTTCTCCTTAAAGTTGAGTTCTAAAATAATGAGAACCAAGGCAGGATAATTATTTTGCCTATTCAATTATTTCAAGTTAATAAAACATGACATAGCTATGGCTTCAATGCACTCACATCATCTGGTATACTAGGTAGCTTAGTAGTATCTGGTACAACAAAGGAAAAATCCTAAAATGCAACAAAAATAGTATTCAAATGCAATAATGTTTTCATTAAAAAGTTAATGCACTCTACAAGACAACAGCAGAAGGTTTAAGGGTGCCAATTGTAAATTGAAAAACTTGAAATATTAAATGATCAATCAAACTGTTTTTCAATATTATGCAAGTTCTTTTAAAACCAGAACTAAACAAGGTAACCAAAGACTGTTATGGATCTGAAAAAATTAGGAATTACCAGACATGTATGCTGGTTACCCCTTTTTCCCACTAGTTTTAATGAGGAACCTGCATGCCGGATTGAAATAAATTTTTTTTTGAAACAATCATTTCAAGTTATCCTCTATCAATCTTCACCTCTAAAAAGATAAATTTGAGTGGTAACTTACTCTTTTGCCTTCATCCACTGCAACAGATACACTGGAACCTGGTTCTTCAGGTGCTTGACCATATAGATGATTCAGTATTGGAAGTACTGCAGTAACCTGTATATTGTGTTACAAAATGTGAAAACAATAGATGCTATCCCCCTTCCATTCAGAGTAAAACAAAACTAAACTTAGACCTATACAATTCTGCAAATTTCACCAAATAATAAGAACTATGTCCCGGTACTAATATAACATAACACAACTCACAGTGACAACGAATTTGCACAATATATGGTACAATATTTATACTCAGCCTGCTTGTGTTACAATACAGTGCATCTACATTAGGCTAGTTTACTTCATCAACAATAGTACACAAAACTTTCTCCAGTTTAAAAGTCACAGCTCAGTTAGCTTACAGTGGAGCAGGGCTTGACACTAACGGTAGCCAACTAGTCACAAACTAGACTAGTCTAAATTCATTTATGGTCAGTGGCTTTTAATTTCCATAATGGAAATACTAGCCAGTTTGGCCAGTAAACAATCTGAAATTGTTCTAACATCTACGTTGTCACTTGCCACTTGGCTAGTAAGTTGAAAGTTAGTGTCGAGCCATGGTGGACAGGTATACTACCATTCAAAAACGCTTCCTTTTGGCATCCTATCAAATTGAGAGCTTCAGAGGTCTAAAATATTATAGTAACCTTAACTGCTGTATTTCAGAAATCTAGCACTTTCAAAAGCCCACAACACCTTTCGTTTTCCTGAGAATACATGTAGAAAGTAAAGATAGCGATTCAAAAATGGCTATCATGTTTACATAATTCATACACAGTGTATACTTTCTAGCTTGACGTCTTAATAAAAATGGATAGAATGTTATTGCATTCCCAATTTGTCAACTCTTGCAAAATAATATAATCTAACAAAAGATTAAAAAAAAATTAAGCATATTATGAAGTATTTTTACCTCATTTCCTCTCTTCAAGTCTGAAATCCTATTTAGAAGCTCATAAAAAATTTTAAACCATGGCAAATAGCTGAAATGAGAGGTGAAATTATTAATGCCACATTTTACTAGAATTATGAACTTTGATTTTATTCAGTTAATAGGTACAGTTTACTATTCGACAAACAAAAACAAAACATGTGCCACCGTTAGATATAAAAACACTAAATCATCTGTCTGTAAAATAAACACACTGTAAAATGGTTGACGTTGTTGCTAAGGCGCTTTATTGCTCGTCACATGATACACAAATAAAGACGTGCTATGGTAGTCTACGTATTTATGTCACACTGTCCAAGCATAATACCTTAGAATGCACAGGCAGGTCTTGACATCTGGAGAATAGCGGCAAAACCCAAATCTATACTTTCCTTCAATGTCAGTGAGAACAAAAGTGTAATGCTGGACGGCTTCCCTAAAAGGAAGAAAACATTTTGTCTCCTTTTTTATAATAAACCTGTTGTAACAACACACTCCAACTTAAAAATTACCCTTTGATTCCCAAGATGTAACCATTATTATCCCTTCTAAACTCTATACATTTCCATATAATTAGTCAAGAGGATTGTACATTACATGTCAAATCTAAAAGATATCACAATAACCAATCTGAGTAGAGGAAAGTCAAATCTAAAAGTAATCACAATAACCAATCAGAATTAAGAAAGATATCTGGGGGACATATGAGGAGAACTCAAGGTGAAAAAAGAAATCTTTCTTAAGGGCCAGAAAAATCAAGAGTCCCAATAGTCCATTTTACAGTTGTGTGCTTGGTTGCCAAGCCTTTGAATGGGAGTGAGGCTGAGGGTGACCTTGTTATGACACAAACCTTGTTGCCTTTCAAATGTAAATCACTTTGTTATCATGCTAGCTAGATACAGGTCTCTATCATGACAAGGTCACCTTCAGCCTCACTCTGAATCAAAGGCTTGGCAACTAAGTACACAACTGTAAATTGGCCAATTGCAATTGGTTTCAGTTTTCATTGGATTGGTTAAGAATTTGTGTAGGTTTTCTAGAATAACCACCCAGTGAAGCAAAGCAAAACTAAAACAATCCCTGGTTACTTTTGACTCTTAATTGCACTCTCCATTTCCTTCTTGCAAAATGATGTATGGTATAGTATGAGGAAATAGCACCTCTGGGAATTAAAAGATTTAAGGTTATTCCTTCTACACATTCACAACTTACAGCAGGATTTGATGTATACTTACGAACTTGTGACACAAGGATAACAAAACTGAGGAATTGCCTTTAATGCTCCCTGAAAGAGGACAAATCAAATAAGTTGTGATGTCGACAACAAGTTAAGGTTACACCATCCATCATCATCACCTTTAGTGGCATTTGATCAGACACCTACTTTTTCATCAAAGTCTGTGGGATGAATAAACTTTGTTTCTGGACCTACAAAAGATAGCAATACATTAAATCAGCAAAAATTAAAAAAGGCACAAATTATCATACCAACCAATATCAGGTGCTGGAAAAGCCTAATAACCTGAGTAAATGTTGTATCTACATGGGGAGGATTGTAAAGTTAGAGATCTGAGTCAATTACAAGGGATATTCCAAATTGGAACCACTATAGGCCCTTCTTCCTGGCCTAGCTAGAAACTATTGTGGAACAACTTTGGTTCAGACACTGATCTAACCATGTAATTGTGTCAAATTCAATGAAACAATTATAATATGCTATACTCTTAGTTTCCTGACACCGCTGAAAACCTGGAATTATATTGAGATCAGTCATTTGATCCAATGTTTACATGCACTTCTGTCATTCTGGGTGGATCCAAATTAAAATCAATTTCAGTTCACTAAAAAGTTAAGCAGACAACCCACACCTCACTGTGAATGTTACACATTAACTTTTTTCATAATACAACATATGCACCATATGCTTGAAAAATTCCCTGTACTTCACTGCCACCAAAGAAGGAAAAAAAGCCCCAATGTCTTGAAGGATAGCATAACTAATATGAGAATTCAACTAAATTTATAAAATAAACAATAACCTTCCAAACAATTTATCAAGTAGAATTTTTAAGTTAAGTCTACATATCATCTAGTCAAGTTTCAAACATCATTGAGAAAGATTCTCTGTTGACAAACGTTGCGATCGAAAACAGCACAGCTAAGGAAACGAACGATCAAAACCTGAAAAACTATACATGCAATTTATGACTTATTCATCGTGTTTAAATAAAAACAGTGCGGGTAACGATCACGCTTATGTACGTTACTACCTATAATTGAAAACAAGGCAATTTCCTCGATGCAATCATGATGTTTTGTTGTTACCATTATGCATGGAGGAACTTATAATTTGCCTTCATTCAACTGGAAAACAAGTGCAAGATCAGAACTCGTTTAGTGGTCTATATTTCAATTCTCGAATCGCAATAAGTGCATTTATCTCCAGATTGCCAGCCAATGATGACACTCCGTCTGGTTCGAGTAAGCATTTATCGCGTATTGACGGTAAAGAAAAATGTGGGTCACTGTAAAAACAACAAAGGTCAAAGTATACAAAAATATTACTCCAGATTTCTAATTACGCTTGCCAATTCATTATACTGGTCAATAATAAGTTAATTTTCCACTGAAATGATTAGAGTTTCGAGTCCGTGCTCATCTCCTCGGGAATATTAGACTATTACTTGTTATCTTAGAAATTATCGCTGAGAAAAAGGAGGTTACTGGCTCGATTGTCTTCACAGAATAGATATGTATTTCCAGGTGAAATGTACAGTGACAATACCTTCACTATCTGTCGGCGCAGCGACTTCCAAAAAGCACTCAAAAATCTTTTCAGGGGAAGGCCTGATTAAAACAAAGTAATCATCAATATAAATCAAGATCCACGAGTAAACTTTACGTAAAGATTATACCTTAATCTCGAGCCCATTTCGTGTGTAAATCACCTAGGCAAAAGGTAAACTGCAAATGGCTCCACCGGCGGCCATGATCGTGTCATGAAAACCACTTCCGATTCGATTTGCGCTTGCGTCATATCGGCCGGGGGAGGAAGTCGGGAGGCACCGGAAGGGGCACGTGAGAGGTGCGCTAAACAATCATTGTGAGTATTAGAAATTAGACCAAGAGAATAAAATAAAACCATTTTGGCACACTCAAAAACACCAGATGTTTTAACATTACATCATGAATAAACTGCAAAACTGAAACAAAATATTTTAGCGCGCGTTTGTTTGAAGTTGTACTCTTTGTATCCGGGTCTGTTTGCCGTGGCCGTCTTGAAGTAGGAATTGTGGATTTTGCTGCATGACTATTCTGCTTTGCGAATACAGTTTGCGTTGAATGACGATGCGTCCATACACTCTCATATAATAAACCGAGTGATTGCATTGTTTACTTTAAGTAGCACTGATCTCTTTTTACGGTAATAATCTGACGTAGATTATGTTCTGAAACGGGTTACCCACTCATTTGAAGAACACAATAGTCCTTTCCACTTTTCAAATTATTTTTTAACCACAACTGATGGTCCAACCAAGGAATCATGGTAATTAATCCTCTTCCCCTCCGATCTGATGCCCTGGTACCTGGTATAACTGACCGTTCAAGTGTAGCAGACGGCTAAGTAGGAATTTCGGGAAAATGTGTTAAAAGTGTAGGCGAAGTTAACACCCACAGGCAAATCACTACTGATGTGATCATTAGTTTTAGATCTAAGCTTAAGATGGGATTTCAAATTTCTGCACGGTAAAAAAATAATTGGTTACGGTTATTAATTCATTTGATAGGCTTCATTGTAAAGTTTACTTTGTTTCATAGGAAAGGAGATGCCATGATCTTCGGTCACCTTACCAGCTCACTTTTGACGAAAATTCTGAAATGAAGGCTTTACAATCTAGCCAAGGGTTTTTTTTTTTTTTTTATGTCGTTCCGTGAAAAGACGAAAAAGCGATATGGTTCAATAACCGCAACATCGCACCCTCTAATACTGGAACAGTCTGGAATGTCGAGAATTTATCAGTTTGAAAAATTCGAAACAATTATTCAACGTCAGTCCCTTAGCAAAGACTACAATAACGGCAGAAACTTGAGTAGGTGCACAACAATGCAGCTGATTATACGCCACACGTCCTCCTGTTCCATTGCAGTTTCGTGTTAGTTAGGTGGACAATAACCCAACAAGTACTCCCTCAGGGTATATTGTACTTCCAAGAAACTGAAATACACCAACACTGCATCTATGTCTTATTGAGTGTTTCAGCATTGTTGATATAAGAAAGACTAAACTGACTTCCGAATTCAAGACCTTTATATTCGGGTAGGCCCATCAAGACTATGAACGTTCGAAGATTCCGTTCGAGGGCGGGACTGGATGTTGATGCTTAAGAACTCCTTTTCATCGGCTGTTTATAAGCCTCACGAGAGGATCTTTGTTTTAACCACTTTTAGACAAACCGTCAGGGGTAATGGTTGGCAAAAATAAAATTTAAACTTTTTCGACGGAGAAAGACGCAAAAAGACGGGTATTGGAAGCATTAGTAATTGAGAAGAGAATTTAAAAGCAAAGGTTGGGGTTGTGGTACTTGATAAAATTATTAGTATAAAACACTTAAGCCCCAGTTATACATTCCAAGCTAAAATGACTTAAGTTTTATTACTACAAAGATACACTGTATTTTCAATAAATGTTAAATTAAGGCAGTCGGTTCTGTTTTATTTTTTTGTTTTGTATTGTTTTGAAAGCGTACTGGCAAACAGTCTAGTACAAACAAGAAAGACGTAAATGGGTGTCTTTAAATTCATTATTTTTTTTTTTACTACTTTTTAGTTTAACCGTAGTATTACGGTCAAATAGAGCTGTTTTGAACCAAGTTTGGTGACTCCAGCTTGTTTACATCAAGTAGAAAAATGGAAAACTAAGTGACAACGTAGTGCTTAGCCCAGTAAATAATTTTATTCTCAGTTCATGAACAAGTAGTTCTGTCAAATAAATACAGCACTCAGCTTGAAAATCCAAAGTGATTTATAAATGTTTTCGAATATGAATTTAAGTTAAATATAATCACATATAAAAAAAAAAAAATTAAAACTAAAAGTTGATTAAAAACATATCATACATGTATGAAGTAAAATACATCTTGTAAAAAAATAAAAGTGCTCTTCCATAGTTTTGGCTTACGAAGTGGTGAACTGTTCATTTTCAATCAACCAAGCCCATCATGTCGTCCACGGATCCGCCTGGCCAGCTGCATGTCCTTGGGCATGACAGTTATTCTTTTAGCATGGATGGCACACAAATTACTGTAAATTAAAGCAAAAAGAAAAACAAAAGGGAACGAGACAGAAACCAAGCGTCATTAAAATCTACATTCATTGCAATGAAGCACATTCATTCACAAGTGTACACTGTGCATGTAAATTTAACAAAAGGTAACATAAAATTAAGTTGAAGCACATGAATTACACCAACTACATGAAGAAGAGAGAGAAGGGAGTATAAAGGAACAAGGTATTAAAAACAAAAAGAAAAATAATATATTGTGATAGGTATAAAACAATTGGAATGGTACGCATCCTCAAAAAGTCTGACAAGGAATGCCTCTGCTGCCTGAAAATAGAAACAAAAGATTTCTTCAAAGAATGTATTAACATGCGTAGAGTACTCTACAAACTGTTGGAGACAAGTATTACTAGATAATAGGTTATCATGAAACAATTTTGGGGGATAATACTGCACTAAGAAGTAAAATATCAAAAGATGGAAAAACCATTCCATTTTCCCCCAGCCTCAAAGTTTATCATACTTTTACCTTCACATGCTATGTAACAGCAGTAACACTGACTTCAGCACATAATTAACAATGTACCAATACTTAAGGTAGAATGCACCACAATTAAAGCAAAAATTTCACAGAATTCCTTACCTCCTGTAATGCTAGCAATGCTGTAGCTTGCCACCTTAATTCTGCTTGCTGGTAAAATTTGTCAGCAACTTCTCTGACCTATAACAAATAATTAGTAAAATATGAAAACTACATATAACTAAAACTATAAAAGCTTTGTTTTACAATTTTTCAATAAAAAGAAGAAATACTAAAAGTTTTAGCCAAGTGATATTAATTTAATATGAAACTGAGAAAGAAAGGAGTATTTTTGGGAAAAATTACCAGTATTGTACCACATGGGGTTCACTAAAGGACTTAATCATACCAAGAAATAAGTTCATAGTTGAGAATCTCTCAGAAAGTTTCTGTACAATCCAAATATTCTGCAAACAGTTAGTGACAAGAAAAATAACTTATTAAAGTGCACTTATTTATGAAAAGGAATTAGTGTATGAAAACGTTTTGATATTGAAATAGTAAACATGATAGGTGCAAAGGCTCTATCTAGTCTCAGAAATCTGGGGTGCTCCGCTCTCAAAATTTAAACAAGTCAAGTAACCCTAAGAGAGAGGTTAATTGCCAATGCAGTGGCATCAAGGCTTGGTAGAGTGCAGAGGTTTCAAAAAAATGTTAAGTAGGCAGCTGCTTAGTGAGAGTAACCGACCGTACCAACAAGGGGCTGTCAAGCCCCTTAATCTAAGGGGGGTCTGGGGGCACGCTCCCCCAGAAAATTTAAACTAGGGGGGTCTGGGGGCATGCCCCCCCAGAAAATTTTAACATCTGGAAGGTCTGAAATGCCATTCCTGGAGTTCTGGAGACCAAATCAAGTGCCAAAAGATTAAGGAAAACTCCCTATCAACAGCAACATTTTTTTTTTATTTTTACAATACTAATAAGCTGAAAATGGAAGTTTGCATGCATTTCCTGGAAGTTTAAGGTCATTGTCACTAAAAAAAATGGAGCTGAGCAGAATCACTTACTACCAGTAAATCACCTCATGCTAACTCGAAACTAATTAAATCAATCAACTAATCACTATTTTCAGAGAGCTTTCTTTTACAACTGATTTTGCTCATTTGTCTCGAAATTAGAAGTGTTTCATTTTGGCAATCTGATGTCAATTAAATCATCCATGTTTATAAAACATCAGTTCTTAAAAAAATCTTTCACTGCAATCTTAGGTAATAGGCAAATGAATATTTTACTGACAAATATTGAGGGGTGTATCTGTGCTAGAAAGCGTCTAGTTGCATATTTAATCTTTCATCCATTTGTCTTTGTTTTTTCCCCGTGAACCCATAAACAGTTCGCGGGTGAAAAACATTCCAAGCTTCTCTGCCTACCCACTAGGACACCCGCCACACAAGCGCCAGAAACTGTGATAAGATCAATTAGCTGCAGCTTTTAGCTCAGACTTCAAATGCGAGTGGAAAAAAATGATAAAATGCTTACATGAGCGTCCGATTTGATTTCGTTCTGTTCTTTTTGTAATACCATGAAACAAACAAGTTTGCTTGTCATTCAAGAAAATACAGCTTTCATTCAAGGTTTGATTAATCAGGCCACAATGAACTCCTGAACACGATAAAAAAAAGGCAATTAGATTACATACTTTGCATGCAGTTGAATTTTTTTGTAAACCTCTTGCATTTGATTGGCAAAACTTAAAAATGTGTTAAAATTGACTGAAATACAGCCCTTTTGATGATTATTTAATTTTGAAATTGAGGTAGAAAGTTCATACAAGCCCATCAAAATGAATTTTAATTCAGTTTTCAAAGAATCTTTCTTTAATTACTTAAATTTAGGGAAAAAGTAGCCAACTTCTCTGAGCGAAGTAACCAACGCTTTTCATCAGCCGTCAGTGCTTATTGAAAGCACTGAGAGTGGAACCCTATTAGAGTTCAATTCCTGTATCCAGTGGCCCATTTCTGAGTTGTGGTGATTCTTTTCAAAGCAAGAGAGGCTATCAATGAGTAACCATTCATGCCACTTGTCCCTGAAGTAAGTCTCATTTTCAAATGGAAGAATTATTTTGGAAATGATTCATAAGATACTCCATGTAATTCAAAAATGGCCACTTCTATTCAAACACCAAGGTCATGAATATGCAAAGCAAAATAATGGAGATGACTGCAGTGACTAGTTAAAACATTGAACAAAACCATGACAATGCATGTTGCTGGTAACATTATCTGCATTCAACAGAAAATGTAAATCGAACCTTAACTTTTTAGATGAAAAACTGACACTGCAGTAAACTACACCAAACTTTACAACATTAATGTTAATTAAAATCAAACTTACCACTCTAACAAAAGGACCTTTTCTGAGTAAGAGATGAGTTGTCTTTTGGTAATGTTTAATTTCCATCAAAGCTCTGGTCCCAGGCCGATATCTCCTTCTTTCTGTGACCAAATTGAAAGAGAGATTGAATGAATGATATCTAATTAACCATCTATAGATTATAATATTTTATCCTATTCCCCACTAAGAACTGTACCATACAGTGAATGGACACTCCATGTACAAAAATGTAAATATTGATGTAAAAACTGAGAAGTAAATAACTGTCCCCATGGTTACAAGGCTCATCAACATCACAGATTTCCATACAGAGATAATTTGCTTAGCCTTCATTTATTGAAATTTTGCATGACCCACTGAGTGCAACCAAAGAAAATTTCCACATGCAATTTCTAGACATTTTCTGAAGGGGGTATTATCACCTATCCACAGGAAAAGAGCTGACAAATTCATTCCAGTACATGAAAGATCACTTTGGAAAACATCCTGGAATTTCTTGAAGATCAACTTTGATAGGATAAAATCATAGCATTCCCGTTACCTTGTGGGGATGCGTATGATGCAAAATTGACTCAGAAGTGAATGGAACCCATGGCCCTTTTTTTTTTCTTCTCGAAATGTATTCATATTATTGGCTTTTAACTCTAGAGATGGCAGTTTAAGGAACTGTTTGAATCTCATTTTATTTACAATAATGGATTAAATTTGCTGTCCGCATTTTCGTTTGCAGAGTGGACGACAATGATGTAGTTGGTCTAATTGACTGGTTGATTTCGAGAACGTTTTGATCGATTATAAGATGACAGATAATTCGAGCTTAAACATAAACCGACAATTCTTTCATTGGTCCTACAATTTTCTTTCATCATCGACGACAAAGTACTGTAGTTAATAGTTACATGCAAAGGTTGATTAAATCAGCTTACTTCGTTCACTGCCTTCATAACCAGGAGCTGATCTTTTAGAATTACTGTATATCACTTCAGATGACGGCGAACTACGCTTTTGTGGACTTTTCCTTTTCCTTTTGTCACCAGGTGACTTTTCAACCACATTTCGAACCATGACTGACACCTTCTCCGTACCAGGAGAACGCTTCAGCTTCCCGCTCGTTTTCCAGTGACGGCTAGTCACGATTCAAAGAACCGTTCGGAGTCGACGCGTAAGACTCATAGGGTCAGCGGGCGCAAAATGGAGATGGATTGAACAACTTGCATGAAATGAACTGTCCCATCACATAAGTGTCTGATACCTACAACATTCCAACAGCTTCCCCAGGCTTTTGCTTACCTGACAAAATGTCTTCATTTCAAACCTTTTTTTGGTTGCTTGTGTTTGTTCGTTTTTTTGTTCTTATTGCACAAAAAAGCTTTTTAAACAATTGAGACTTCAATACAAGTAATGACCAACGCATCCAAAATTTACCGAAATGGATCACTACGTTTGTGTTTGATAACATTTAAAGGATCTTTGGAATCATTAAAGGAGAATAGTTTCTTTTCCGATCTCGTTATATATATCTCTATGTATTCACAGAGTTCCTCTCTATGCGTTATCTGTTTCTTTAATTTTTCTCCTATAGCTGTGCTCTTGGTAAATGATGTTAACTTCCCAGGTACAGCTCAACCAGACCTTACTTAAGCCTTTGGGGACCAGTATTTTTTACGGTTGTAAAGTTATTACGATATGTTTGAAGAAAACAGTTGATAAGGAATTATAGCTAAGTCGAAATATGACCAACAAGCTTTAAATCGTCAGTATCAGGCACATGCTCCACTTTATAAGCTTGGGCGCTCATTCGAGGAACTTACAGGCTATAGTTGTTTTCTGCAAGAGAAACCGGCTGACGAGAACAAGAGAGATCAAAAGAACATATAGCAGCAGATACAAGCCCTTGAGTCGGGTCGGGACTATTGAGAGGTTTTTTTTACAATTTTCGGTTGCTTCTATCTGATTTCGAATGATTCCAACGAATTTCGAACGGTTAAGTCAATCTCGGACGGTACCGTTTAATTTCAATGGGACAATTTTGTTTGATGGCGGAAAATGCTGTCCTTGATTCTGGACGAATATGTCAGGTTTCATCATGTACGGTTTTTGACTTTTGAATATTTTCGTCAGGTTTCGGAGAAAATTTCGTCTTCTTAATTTCGAAAGGTTGTCAGCTTTAACTGTGTGAAACTGACCAAAGGCCACGCACAATAAAAGGGAGATGCTTTTTCTCTCTGAATCTTTTCTAATTCTACAATAAACCAGACTCCTTTTTCCTAAAAATTGGCCGGCTGGAAAAGAACCTTGGAGATTTTAAACTGTCCTGTAACAAAAGAATGCGATTGGTGCTAAATCGGAACTTACCATGATACAAACCTCTTGATACAAATTGGATGGAACTAAACTTTGATGTAAATTCTGATTCTGAGAACAGCGACCAGCTAGATAGATTATTTTAGCTCAAATCGTCGAATTGCAAACTTCAGTCGCTCGGTTTTTGCCTATCGAACACGTTTTCTAGCACGTCACTGTTCGAGATAGCATTTAACACGACGTTAATAAAACCGACGAAAGGGTGAGCGACACTAGCATTTACCTGTTTGAGGGCGTTAAATACTAGGCTATTTTTTTTAATCATAAATTAAGATGCCCTTCTTTCTAACCAGGAGGCGTCTGGAGTTTCATAGAATGTTCCCACGTCAAATACCTTGTCGTCCGACCGGCAACTTCGCCCAGTAATTAACATCGTTATTTCGCCTGCAGGGTTGGTGCACGTTTCGGTGGTGTTCTTAGCCTGACCCCGCTTTCGCGCGCTTTGTTCATACTTATTAAAGCTTTACGAGACAATTTTAGATTTAATCAAAACTCAGTCGGTATTTCAAAATCGTTGTCTCTGTTTATGGGAGCATAGACCATTTGACCCCCGGGCATTAAATTTGATTCAATTACTTTGTCAGATTTGACAGTAAATAATGGTTTCTCGACACATTTGAAAATAATATTTAACAACGCCACAAAAAAAAATAACATCAAATGAAACACATCAAACAAGTTTTCTTTCTATCGATGTCTTTCTCTTTATTATAACATGTCAAAGGTTCATCAATTGATAACTCACCGTCGATATATATATATATATATAAAGTGTGACTTGATTTTCGTAGAACAGTGCTCAATACATAGAAGTAGAGCGAAGTATATATTGTGGGAGGAAAAAGACAAGTAAACTACAAGTTCATCCCTACAAGCCTGTTTCGTGGTCGCCCACTCANAATTGTATCAGTACAGGTACAACTGTCAGGTCTAATGATATAATATCCGTATTTGTATTCGTTCCATAAAAGTACATATTCCATCCTTTGATTCTAATTTTGTAGCATTTTAGCCACTTCTAGCTACAGATTTTGATTTACGACCGTGAAGGTGACTGCTGTTTACTTAGTTTTAAATCAAGGCCCTTCAAATGAAACTCGCTTTCTTGTTCCTTGCTTGTGATCGTTTATGAGTTTCCCTTCTCCCTCGTTAAGAGAAATTGGACGTTGAAGTGAGATCGGGGGTAGAACACAACTTAACGATCGCGGCGAGCTTGTCCGCGTGCTTGTGCGTGAGCTTGTTGAGCTGTTCTGTTCTGAAATGGCTCTTTTAAACTTCCTTACCACGCTAGGGCTACTGAACAACCCATCACAGTTATGGGCTCCAGGGCCTCCTTGACTCATGGGTGCCCTAGACGATGGGCACACAGAATCTTGAGAGGACCATAATGGCGAGCTATCCAAGAAAACACCTTGTTTCCTCCGATGTCTGATATAACATGGTGTATCACTTTGTACTTCCCATTTATCAGAGTCGTCTTCAGAAACCTTTTTTACTCTTTCGTCTGAAGAAAGAGATGTTTGACCAACTTCTTGTAGTCTCGAGAGTCGGCGTTGTAAAAGTCGCTCCTTCTCACGACAAAAAGCCCTCTCTTCCTTCGATTTAGCTTTTTCTAGCAGCCACGTCTGCTTCTTAAACAATTCTTTCTCACTGGCGTTTCTTGTTAGTAGATATTTGGCACCGTTTTTGGACAAAAGCACTTCGGGTAAGGCATTAAATGTGGACATCTTTATATTCCAAAAAACATCTACGCCACAAGCCTTACGCAAGACGCAGATGAAATCTAATTTGTTGCACACCGAGAACAAATTGAAAGAAGAATGTTTATATTTTAAACATGTTTACGGTCCTAGTCCGCCGGATTCCATAATTTACCGCAAGAGAAACTTTTAACAAAGAAAGTTATTCGTTCATCATATTTTGCAATGATAGAGGTGCTCTCTCTAGTGACGTCAATGAACTCGGGGCCCCTGAATAATGAATTGTTTATACGTGGGTAAGCAATTCACGCCGCCAAAGCAATTTGTTATGGATTATTTGACAAAAATTATTTTCAAAATACTCGCTAGCTAGTGCAAAACGTCATTTTCCTTTACTCGTCCAGTTTCTTACTGCGCGAAGGACTCTATGATTGTTATCATTTTGTCTCTCCGTATCGAATTTCTCCGTTTATTCTCTGAATTTAAAACTTTGGAATTATAATTTACTTTAAAACTTATTCTTGTGTTTTGTTTACACCAAAAAAAAAAAAAAAAAAAAAAGGAACTCCTTGGTGATGAGTTTAGCAACCTATAAGTTTTTGCAGTATATCTCACGTTAAGTCTGCCTGTCTGTCTACCGTACCTAACAACCTCAAGCGAACACTATCCCATGTTCTTCAGAGGAACATCAGTTGAAAAAGTAGTTGTTCCTTTCAATAAAATCCGTTTGCAACAAAACAATTCGCAGATAAAAACTGTCGTTTTCCTCATTGAGCTGTTCGATTAATGGGTAGAGGCGCGCATGACATCAGCTACCTGACAAATAACGCAAGAGAATCTCAATGACTGTTTCCCGACCGGCTTTCCACGATTTCCCTCGGGCATTTTGCTTCCTCCTCGGTCTCAAGTAGGGAGTCATAATTGAAACAAAAGTCAAAAAAAGTTTTATGAGATAATAACTACCACATTGGCCCCGACTTTAATTATTTGTTGGTAAACTGATTTCTTCGAAAAGCCGTTCGACGTAAAGATTTAGTCCCAGGGTATGACAGAATTTATGAAAATAATTTTTTCTTAGTTTATTTCCCAGTAAAATGAAGTGGGTCATTTATCTCTTTGCTTCAAGCCTTACCATGGCGATAGTTTTTCTTCAGTTTCGAATGATTTAACTGATAAACGGACTGCGGAGCGTAGTAAACGCAATTTTGCATACGTGCAATTAATGGAGTCGAATTTTTCAAGGGAGCCATTTGTGCTAAAGGCAGCAGTTTATTCTCTGTATGGAGAAAGTAATGGCGGAAAAAAAGTAAATTTAAAAATAAATTATTTGAAAAAATTTAGCTTTGGGTATATTTCATCGCTTTGAAATATTCGGGATAACCAATAACTCCATACTTCATTTTCCGAGGATGGTTTCAATAGAGTCTGTTGGTTAAGTCGGCTCTACCTCAACCAAATCAGTTTTGTAAGAATTGTCCATGGTATCTACCAAAGACCAAACTCTCATGACAAAAATCAAATACCTTGGGGAAACAACATACATAGAAGAAAAGACAAAGGGAAAATAAAAACTTCCAGTTAAAATTTAATTTAATTTCTCATCTATGACAAATGCTCAGAGTCTTAAATGTACAAAAAAATATCACTTGTGTTGTAACACTCCGAGAAAAAAACATATTCAAGAATACTGTTTCAGTGGGTCAATAAATGTTCCAAACGAGTTGCAATGGACACAATTTCAGGTCAAATGGGTTCTCTGTAACCAAGAATCTTGTAAGTTTTATTTGGTACCCTGTGGTGGTGTTAGGAGACCACCAACCTTGCTTGCAGCTCGGGACGGAGCAAAGCCCAGCATTTTTTGTATATTCTGAGTGGAAAAAAAAAAAAATATCATAATTAAGTGAAAGTGTAGTGTGACCACCACCAACAACAGTCCCTCTCAGGACTCTACACTCACCCAGACAATCACACTACACTTTCCTATGTTACCTCCCCCTCCCCCCCTGGTTCAAACTATTTACTGGATCTTAATTAAGTTTAGCAAAAGCAATATCAAAATACTGTGAGAAAGCAGGTATCCATACAAAAAAAATACATTTTTGACAATCAGTCTGCATAATTCTGCAAAAGGTTAATTGACTGTTTGATTGATCAGTGATTCGTTATTTGATTGATTAATTAAACTGACTGCTTGACTGATTGATCAACTGATCAATGGATTCTGTGATTGATAAATTGCAAGCGACTTAAGGGCAGTGAAATTGGAGTGTAGTCTACAAAACATGCATAATTATGGTCTGTATCCACAAATGTTGCATAATACTCATTTAGAAAAAATTATTTTTTGCACAAACCTGTCTCACAGACATTGTACAAAGAATGTAAAGGAAGATAAAGGAGCAGTCCGTAAAATCTGTGCCCATCAAATTCCGATGAGACAAGCCTTGAAGCCAAGAGTGGGGAACAAAGGGAAGCTTTGCAACTACTCTGCCATCAAATCTGAAAATAAGACAACATAATAAGATAAAGAGATTAGAAATTGAGATTAGAAATGCACCCTATAAGTATCTATTTATTATTTTTATCATTATTATTATTATTATTATTATTATAAATGCAAGAAATACTTCTTCTAACCTCTAGTAATAAATACAATTACACTGGAAATAAAAATGTTATTACTAAAAAAGTTACTCATAACATTTTGCATTCTGTAAAAATGCAGTTACAAAAATCAACACAGAAGGATTTAGGGTACACACTTACATTGAATTAAACATGCCAATGAGAGCTGTAAAGGTAAATCCAATTGCAAAGATGGACTTCATTTTCACCTGCAAAATAATTACAACACATATCACTATATCATATTTGAAACATCTCCAGGGTCAAATCAAATGACAGGAAAGCTTTGCAAGGGCAGGGGACACTCTCATTAGACAGAAGGAACCTCAATAGAAAGAAATAACAATCTTCTTGAAGCTTGGGTAGCATAAGTTTAAAAAATCCTGGCAAACAAAGAAAAGGAATTTTAAGATAATTTTTTGTAAATGTTTAAAACTACCCATAACCCAGGGTTTGACACTAACTCTTCAACTTACTAGCCAAGTGGCTAGTGACATCTTGGATGTTTTAAGATGTTACAACAATTTCAGTTTGTTTATTAGCCAAACTGGCTGGTCAGAAATTGAAAACCTTTAGCCAAAACTGAATTTCTACTGGTCTGTGGCTAGTGGGCTACCATTAGTGTCGATCCCTAATAACCGATGATTCCTGTTTTTCTCCACAACAACATAAATTATGTCTAGTGTTTTATGCTTCCGTGCAATTACAGTATCATCAATTCTTGTCAAGGATTATTGATCAGAATTAGAGCCAAATATAGAGTACATGAATATTGTACACACAAACTTGAACATATTTGTCTCTCACCATTGAAAGATCTCTGTTGTGATTCTTAAGCTTCTCCTCAACTCTTTCTGAGGAAACACAGAAACAAACAGGTGTGAAACACACTTGACTGAAAACTCATGTAAAGCAGTTGTACATGTACTAATATTGTCCAGCAATTACATCAAAATAGGGAAAAACTGATTAGCGTCACTGGTATGCTTACCCATTTTCTTCTTTTGACCTCCACCTTGTCTGGGAAGATCTATTATATTTTCTTTTCTCTTCTCCACTAAGTAATACAAGTAAATACCATTAATATGAAGTGTCTTGTTGGAATGCACCATACAGGTATTTTGACTTAACTCTGTCAATCCTCTCAAGGTCTGCTATAGTACATGAATTTGATTGAAAAACATGAAATAAATGAATTATTTGTCTATCATGACAGGTTCTAACAATACTGCCTCACTCAAAATAACTTTTTTCAAGTGGATTCACTCAAGATAAGCAAAGATACTCACACTTTTTACTGTCTTTCTCAACTTCTGCAGTTAACTTTTTATATTTGTCTGTTCTGTAAACCAATAAATAAGTGATTCCTATGAAAAAGAAAGTAAAAGTAAGGTTACTACAGTCACCGAGGTAACTTTTGTATTACAATCTCTTTCTTTGCCTTCTTGATAAGAACTATCAAATAGACAAAACAGATCTACAACCTAATTACAAATAACGTTTTATTTCCTAAGATGGTGACACCACAACACTACCTCACAAGAGACATATTCTTCTGGCCTCGGTTGTTCAAAGAGCGGATAACGTTATCCAATGGATAAATCGCTATCCAGCAGATAAGTGTTACCAAAACGTACTGTGCTATCTACCGGATAGAGATTTATCCAGTGTATATCGCTATCCGCCCTTCGAACAACTGGGGCCTGTAGCACAGCATATCTTTGATCAACATCTGAGATATCAATTTTAATAATCAATAAACATGTGTCATTATAACAAATCATACAATTTTGAACCCAATAACCTAGACAACTCTTGATCACGGTTTTTTTTTTGCTCATCTGTAGGGCATTTTAATGAAATAATAAAAAATTAATTTACTTTTGAACTAATGGTAAATTAAGCCACAAAAAAATACATTAGTTTTATAACAAAACTCTCAAAGAATGGAATTCCTAAAATAATGATACCCTAAATGCACCTTCCTTAAATAAATTTAAAGAACTGATAAATGAAGACGCTACCGTTTAATATTGTTTTATTACTATTATAAAATTGTTGTTTATTTTGTATAGTATTGTATGTATTGTTCTTTATTTTTTACGTATCTTTTTGTCACATTGGCGCCGATGCCACAAGCTTTGTGAATTACGATAAATAAATAAATTACAAATGATGAAAGGGGAAGATCCAATTTTTTTATGGGAAAAGGATCTCTTCTGTTTTGCTGCACTCTGTCTGGAAATTTTTCCGTTCACTCTTTCAACACAAGGCTTGAACAGAATATGAAATTGCTAGCAGACAATTTATTGATGTTTACATGCATGAGGTACTTGTAAATTATAAGAGAAAGATCCCTACATTGGAAAATCAAACGGTTAAAATGAACAGGTAACAACAACAAATAAACATTACATTCCTTATGAGGAATCCTAAAAGCTGCAATATTAAAATCGTGATAACCTCTGCAACCAAATGGCGGCCTTGATATTCATTCGAGCTCAAGAATCTCGCGTGATACGTCATGCTACTGGATTGAACATCACTCGGCACGGTTTGTGGCCGTCGTAACTGATACCGAAACAAACCTACCTTCAGAGAGAAGTGCAGTTGCTACCGAAATGAAGAGAATAAGAATCGCGTCAGCCAACATTTTCCCGATCTAGAGAGATGAACGAAAAATTAATGGCGGAGAAGTAAAGATCCCCAAAGACAATAATTTATGCTTGAGCCTGCAAGCACATGCAGCCAACAAGCTGTCAAAAAAATATCATGCGTGCATAATTCTAAATTTTCCCGGGAAAACTACCACGAGGGTCTTGCAAAAAAATTTCGTTTCCGCGACCATTGTGTTTACTTATACGAACAAGGAGAACATCTAGCGATGCCTTGCATAGAGGACTGGCTCACTGACCCCCTCAGTGTTATTGAAGGAATATTCAATGAAGCAGGAAGCCCAGATCACGAAAAAGTGGGCGAGTTTTTTTCTAGTCGATTGCAGAAGAGCGAAGCGCTCCAGCGAGTTCCCTCGTTGAATGATATTCCAAGTCATCTTCTCAAATCAAAGAATTTAGTCAGATTCCGATGCATGGTGCAGGACATGTTCGATCCTGAGTTCTACCTTGCCGTGTATGAAACGGTGAACAAGGTGGACAACTCGTCGAAGTTGCAGTGCGGAATGTACCAAGATGTCGTCAGATGTCCTGAAAATTTCGAACTTCGCCTAGAGTCACCGAAGAACATAACCAAAGAGAGGCATATTTATTACTGCGTACCAATACCAGGAGAAACTGAATGGGCGAGGAAAGCATTTGCAAGGGGAAAAGAGACTTCAGACTCCGAAGCACAAGTGTCTGGGCGGAGGAACCCTGTTATTAAGAGGGTTCTTGAGGAAGACATGGACGATGAAAATACCCCAGCTTCTCAGCGTGGTAAGTGCCTTGATCATTGCCTCCAGCGAGGTCCATTTTGATTCCTTGTTTTTCAACCACGATAAATACACACACAGTGAAGAATTTTTACCATAATCTCTTGTTCACTTATTGTGCAGTAAGATATTTTTTACTGAAATTATAGGCAATATCCGTGATGAGAGAGAAGATTGTTTTTAAAATAGCAGTGATTCATTTTTACGCCAGAATAGCCCAATTAATCCCTTTCATCCCCCCTCAATTCTAAAATAAACCAGGTCTTGTATAAATTAAACAATTATTATTAAAAAAAAAAAAAGTGTACTAAAATTTTCTTTTTAGTGATGTGCATGAAAGTTGTCAAGTTACCTGAAAATGTCTTGGCATCATATATTTTGCTTCTCTCATCCCTGCTTCTGGTACTGTGTAGCCTCTCCCCATGTCTCAAGTCCATTAGGACCCAGCTTGAAGGGCTGCTATACAAGGTCCCAGATCACAAAAATCAAACTATGTGCTGACATACAAATGTCCTGCCCCCAACGTTTTGGAATTTAAAAAGTAACATGTAAATAGGCTTTTTCAGAATTTTATATACAGTACCTTCCCTTTCAAAATGAGCAAAACTTTCTGCGTGAATATGGGTTTATGTCAAAGAAGATATACAAACTATAGCTATTTTAAGGATTTGGCTTTGGGTTTCTCAGAAAGGTTTGTTGTTTACCTCAGAAATTAGGGTTTTCACAGCATTTTAACCACTCAGCCCCTCCTTTCCTTCCCCTGTATACTTCCAGTGACAACTAAGGTCTATGATTCTCTATTAGCATCCTTAGAATAGCATCCAAATTGAAATTCATTTACTCCCTTAGGGTGGCAAGTGCCCAATGTGGCCTCCAGTGATGATGACGCTAAAAGATCAAAATCCAGGGAGATATCAGGTGGAAGTAATGTTCCATCCCATCCATTAAATACTGATCTAAATTTTCCTCTCCCAAATGAGCATGGCCCAGCTTGCCTTGTCCATGTCTATGATCAAGAAAGTACCCTGAAGGTGAATGACATGGTAGAGTTCATTGGTGTGTTGTCAGTTGATCCTTGTCTTGCTTTGTTCAATGATGATGATATGGGAGATGGTGATGAGCAAGTGCCACTAGGTCCTACCCATGATGACTTAATCACTCCAGAAGAACAAGCTGTTCATCATCCACCGCCCTCACTAGTGCCACGGCTGCATGTGGTAGCATCTTGCAATCTAGTCCACTCTAACCCATGTATCCCTAGCGGCATTACAAGACAGCCATCAATTGCTAATTTACAGCAGCTTGCTGATGTAAGGGGTGAGGTGGTGTCTCTGCTGACCCAGGTTATGTGTGGTGATAGCCTAGCTGCAGAGTACTTGCTCCTCCATTTGATTTCCTCAGTTTACAGCTGGACAGGAATAATGCCTGTTGGAAAGTTTACTTTGAATGTCAGTGGGTGTCCATCCTCAGACTCATTCCCAAAAGAGATGCACAAGCTCGTGGAGCATCTTGTACCAAAGTGTCATTTTCTGCCTATGACCTTAAACAACATGAACACACTGAACTTTGTTCCCAAGAAGGACTACACAGCAAATCGCCTCAAGAGCAGCATCCTTCAGTTATCGCAAAGCACCAATTTAATTGTGGATGAAACAGCTTTGCAAGCTGGGCAACTGAATGCAAATGGTGTCAAAAATGTCACAGCCCTGGGAAATGTCATCTCCTGGCAGAAACTAGAGTATGACTTCAATTTCTACAAAGCAGACTTCACCACCAATCTTCTGATACTGATCCTGTCAGAAGGAAAGTCACTGCTTCCTGCAGATTGCCATGTGGCTCTCAGACCCCACCAATCACCCCAACCTGTTGAGAAGGTTTTGAGCAGGATCTCATCAGCCACAATACAGCATATGCGAGCATTCTTGGGTGTAGCACGTCTGGCAGAGTATTCTTTGTCCTCTGAGATGCAGAAGATTCTTCAGGATGACTTTGTGAAAAGCAGGCAAGAAAATCAAAGCAGCATGACTCCTGAGGACTTCCATCTCTTACTTTTGCTCTCACGGCTCATGTCTCTGAGTCATGGGCAAAGCACCTTGACACCTGAGATGTGGAACCAGGTTAAACAGATGGAAAAAGATAGGAGAGCTCGTCTTATCTGTTAGTTCCCACAACTAAGTTGATTCACATGTGTTATGTTAATCCACTGCACAGAGCTGGCCTGAATGGCCCTTGCAGAAACTAAAACTTGCATGTATGTGTTCATTGACTACTGTGTAAGATGATAATGCTGTAAAACTTGAGCATATATCCTTGTACATGTTTAAACTTAAGATGCGTTATGCTGACTTTGATTGTTTTCTGAATAGAAAAACCACTATGTTATGCTATTGGCTATAAACTGTATTCCACCTTCATCATCTCTTGATTATAGTATATAACGTGACCAATGAATTTGCAACTTTGTATAATAAGAGGTTTTTGTGCTGATGCATGGAGGAGGCCAGATTGACCATTAAAGCCAATCTCCCTCCAGAAAACTGGATAAACATGCAATAAAGTATTTGATGATTTGTGTTAGACCCGAAATAGCCTAGTTATTTTATTTCTTATTTCATTGGAGAGGTGGCACTTCTTTCACTTAAAACTGAGCATAAAGTGAACTTTGAATAACATGAGAAGAAAAAGATTTCTAGCCCCCTGCTATGTAGTTCATGCCCTTAAACACAAAAATGGAGTAAAGGATGATAAAATTTGTTGTTGAAATGAATTTCTCCCCTTGTTAGAAATATATTTTCGATATTCGCCCTCTTCAAATAAATCTTCCTAACATATCAGTTCTGTACAATTAAACAATAATGGGCCATGAGCATATTGAAATATCATTTTTCAACTTCATTTGAAAAGTATCTTTACCATTTTAAAAGAAATTTAATATTAAAAAAGTATCATGTCTACTTGTTTTTTCTATGTGACAGAGATTATGTATGCATGTCAATTGTGATTACTTTGTAGAATCTCTAGTAGATGATGAGAATATTTTGCTCATCTCAAACATTTCAAATACCTATGCATCCCTATTGCAACTGAGTAATTTCCTTGAGATCTGGATGGTCCTGATTGGATGATTCTTTTGTTTTTGTTACAACCACTTTGATATCATCTTAATAGCCCGTTATCAAATTACCCTTGGCCTCTTTTTCAAAACGAGGCCTGGTGCTCAAACATTCTTGTGAAAATGAGTTAAATTTGCATGTGAATGAAAACTTATAATCATATGAAAGAATGAGAGCCAGGACTCGTTTTGAAAATGAGGCCAAGGGTAATTCGGAAATGGGCTATTTGTTACCATCTTCATTTGTTACCAACTTCATTTATTTTCATGATCTTCATTTGTTACCATCTTAATTTGTTTCCGTATTCATTTGTTAGCGTATTCATTTGTTACCGTATTCATTTGTTACCATCTTCATTTGTTACCATCTTCATTTGTTACCATCTTCATTTGTTACCATCTTCATTTGTTACCATCTTCATTTGTTACCAACTTCATTTATTTTCATGATCTTCATTTGTTACCATCTTAATTTGTTTCCGTATTCATTTGTTAGCGTATTCATTTGTTACCGTATTCATTTGTTACCATCTTCATTTGTTACCATCTTCATTTGTTACCATCTTCATTTGTTACCATCTTCATTTGTTACCATCTTCATTTGTTACCATCTTCATTTGTTACCATCTTCATTTGTTACCATCTTCATTTGTTACCATCTTCATTTGTTACCATCTTCATTTGTTACCATCTTCATTTGTTACCATCTTC